TGGGGGCTTCCCTCCTTCGCCCCCAGCAGATCAAGGCCACCACTTCAACTGACAGACATGGAAGCATCGCTGGACCCTGTGGGCGGTGACTATATACATCTGTCCACTCTCAGCTTTTCTTTCCTTACTCTCCCTTGCTCTTATCCTGCCTTTCTCTCCCCTATGCATTTTCTTCCCCCCCCAAAGGTTATCTCTGTGTCACATTGTTGTATGACAGCACCCAAACTGCTAGCATGCCTGTTGATACAGAATTGTTAAAGTAACCCTTGCCAGTATATGTTTTCAGACACCGATTATTCAGTGTTGTTTCACTTTAATCCACCCCAAGGGAATTATTGATAAAAACCTGAGTTACCCCCTCTCCCCTTTTTCTGGGGTGGGTCGTAAAAGAGGGGAAAGTTTTTTACCCCTTTCCTGGGCACTGGAACACCCTCTGCACCCCCGTTCCTGGCCATGCCGGCTCTCCTTCCCCCCCAAGCCATGAACAGGTTTTGGGGCTCCCTCGTGGGTCGCAGCCAATAGAACAGCTCTGCTGGAATGAGCTCGGCCCCTCTCCTCGCACCGGTGAGTCATCCAATAGAACGTCAATACTTCCACGGGGGCTGCTGGGAGTGGGGCGGTGGTGGCAGGGGAGGGGAAGATCGCGATTTAACCCGATTGGTCCCGATCGATCGCGGCCCCAGGGTCTCCCCCCGCCACAATGTTTTTCACGTGCGGCCCCAACGAGACCATGGTGGTGTCGGGTGAGTTCGGGGGGTCCGGGGGCTCCTGGTGACCCCTCCAAATCTCCCTCAAGACTCTTGGGAACTACCCAGATCCCCCCCAAGACTCCTGGGGCCCCTCCGAAAGCCCCGCTTCTAGGGGCCGCCCCTCCACCTTTCCCCCCCCGCCAAATCTTCTGTGCATCCCCTTAACCCTTGAAAATCTCCTGGGACCACCGCAGACCCCCAGTTCCCTCCTGGGGACCCCCAAACCCTCTTCAGGACTCCTGGGCCCCTCCCGACCCCCTCCTAGAATCTTTTGTGTCTCCCCAGCCCTTTATGGCAGATTCCTCCATCCATTTTTCCCCCCCGGACGGCTGGGGGTCAACCCCCCCAAGAAACTACTGGGAACCCCCCAGTGTCCCACCACGAGATTCCTGGGTCCCTTCTCCCCCAACCCCCTGTGGGTACCCCCATCCTTTTCCCCCCCTCGAAAATACTCTTGGGGGGTCCTCCAATATCCCCCCCAGCCCCCATCCTGCCGGGGATGGATTTGGGGGGATCTCCTTCCCCTTCCCTCTGGCCCAAAGGCAAATGCCCTCCCTGTCCTTCTTCCTTCGCCCCCAGGCGGAAAGGAGAAGAGAAACAGCCAGTTGGCCCTGGCGGGTGTGGGTGTGTGCAGGTTGTGGTTGAGTGATTGAGAAGGGGGAGGAGGGGGCTGGTGTTTGGGCAGAGTCCAGCAGGTGATGTCTTTCGTGTCTGTCAAGGCAAGGCAAGGCAAAGAGGAGCTTCTGTGCTGATGCTTGTTTTTTGTGTCTGTTGGAACTGGAACAAGGATGTTTGTCCGGGAAAAGTGCTGCCCCTTCCCCAGTCACATGTTCTTTCTATTTTACCAGCAGTCCTTGGTCAGCTCCATGACCATCCAGCTGTCAGTGTTCATGACATACCCATCAGCCCCTTCTCTTCTGGGCTCCTACACTTGCCAACCCTAAGCTGCTCCTAAGTTCTCTTGCTGTCAGTTCATAAAGTGGTCTTGTCAGTGCCCTTGGCCATCTCCAGCACAACTTGTCCTGTGCTGTCCCACAGCTGCTTCTGTTTCCCTGCAGGCTGCAGACACCCATCCAGCTTCCCCCCCAGCTCTCACCCCTGCCATTTGCAACCCTTCCCTGACCACTGCCCACCCTTACACTCTGTTTTTTTAAATACTCACATGGAATGATCTCCTCCTCCTTCTGGATGCTTCTCCTCCCACAGCAATGCCCTTGCAGGGACATTTCTTTTTCCTCGTCCCCTTTCTCCACCTTTCCAACTGCAGTGTGGGGCAGTGTCTCTGTCTCGGGCAGTTTCCTTCCTCCTAGGAAAGCTCCAGCAGGTGGGACACAGCCTTTCCAGGAGCATGGCAACCCCTCAGCCT